CTTGCAAATCATTGAAGAAGACATGTTCGACATCCCGGTGTGGAAGCTAGGAATGGCAATGGGGCAGGGCGGGGGCGTGGGATATATCCCCCGTCCCCGCCTCCGCAATCCCACCCCACTCCCCATACCCGCACCTGCACCCGCACGGCTAATGAAATTCCTTCCCATACCCGCCCCCGTGGGGATTTTGCAGGTGCGGGGAATACTCATAGGGATTTTGCATGTAACCTTAGTCTCATTAGTAATATGAAACTTACATCTAATAAAAATTTTATACTGCAATTTATAATATTAGTGCATCAAAGTCTTCACCAAATAACTACCAACTTGAATATTACATTTGCTTCCAACTTCAACATTAGTGTATAAAATCTTAACTAGCCACTAGCACCAAAAGATAATTAGAAGCTGTAAATCTTCATGAATTATATTAGTGTTTCAAATCCTCGACTTAGTACAAGAAAGCAGTTATAGACTTTTGATATTGATATTGACATAAATATAATAACACAATACATACATACATACATGCATGCATGCATATATATATATATATATATATATATATATATATATATATATATATATATATATATATATATATATATATATATATGCGGGGGCCGGTGCAGGGCGGGGATACCTCTCCCCGCCCCCGCCCCCATACCCGCGCGGGTTTAAAACTTTTTCTCCATACCCGCACCCATTATTCAAATTATGCGGGTATTTTATTATCCATTGGGACGGGGATGCGATTAACCCGTTGGGTGCGGGTAGAATTGCTATCCCTAGTGGAAGCAAGTTGACACATAAGTGTATTTCGAGTATCACCTTTCCAGTGTAGTAAAAAAAAAGAGTGGCTTTTAAACAGGTTTCAAGCTAGACCAGATCAATTTTAGGCTCAGGCTTGAACCTTAAAAAAAAAAAAAAGCCTACATACAGGCTAGACTTAGGCAAATTATTGTGTGGACCACGGTTCAAAACGACGTCGGTAAATTTTATGAGTTAGAATAGTGTACATTATGAGTTAGAATAGTGTACTTTATGTGTTAGAATAATGTACATTATGTGTTAGTAATAAACTTCTGGGTAAGATATGTACTTTATAAGTTATAATAATGTACATTATGCTTTAAAATAATGTACACTATGAGTTATAAAAATGTATGTTGTAATGAGTCGTGTGAAAAAAATTGCGCAAAACAATATCGTTTTTGGACCATGATCTACACAGTTGTGTGGACCACGGTCCACGCAATAACTATTCCTAGACTCAAGACTCAGGCCTTAAATTTCTATAATAGTCTCAGGCGTAATTTTATAAAGCTCGGTTCAACTCCGCCTATTTTCATCCTTAACCTTGTACAAAGCTTGGGCATGGTGAGGTTGCGGATAGCTAAGAATCCGCGACCTTTTTTCCGTAAAAGGGTCACATATTTTTTTCTTTCTTTCTTTCTCTTTTATTTATATATTTATTTATTTATTTTTTAAGAAAAGGTATCTGCAAGACTGCAACCCTTTCTAACTTGATGATAGTGTTAGAATTCTATGTTTAATGTGTTGAAATCTTGCCAGAATATGATTGTGATTATGATGTTTAATTGCAACCCTTGCATGTTTAAGGTTTGCTACTTTGCTATACTCAAATTTCTCCGAATGTGATTCTTAGATGATTACTATTGTTTGTCTTTTTTTTCTTCTCCGCATAAAGAAACAAGTAATTTATGCCGAATAAGACTAATTTGGTCGAGTTTTAATCACGCATTATTGAAGAAAGATTCTCCCGAGACTATTGTTGCATAAATGTTAATTATTTTATTATTATTTTTTTATACTTCACTAGCTTATTAGTATCCATGCACACCTTACGTGATGAGATTAATGTAATGGAATCTTGGTTGGATCCCATTTGACAACGCTTTGATCTCCCAAGATCAAAGCATTTTGCATACACATTGATTTTTAAAAGTATATTTCGTGCTTGAGTTATATATTTCATGCTCTCTTAATTAATAACATCTTTTAGGCACTATTTCCTTTTCCATTTCTCTTGGGTTTGGTAAATGCTAATGCTGCTTATAGACTAAGGCTTTAAATCTAAGTCTCATTCAAGAAAAATGACCAAAAGTATGTATTTCACTTGAACCTTTTTTTTTTTTGTTTTTTTTTTTTTTGTTTTGTTTTTTTGTTTTTTTTGTTTTTTTTTTGTTTTTGTTTTTTTTTTTTTTTTGAGATTCCACTCATCAAATGCAAGTTGAAAACAGGCCCTCATGCATATACAGTGTTGTTGTCATTTTGTTAGGTGCATATATGACATGATAACTGCCAAGCGAACCAATTCTTTCTGTCAATTTGGTTGGTTAAAAAATAGGTATCTTTGATGAGTCTACGGCCTGCTGATGTCCACTCTATGTGGTGCTGCATGCAGAATATAATGTAGTCAAAGGTATATTGTATATATCCAATGTTAGGGGTTCTTAGGAAAAGATTGATGACTATATATGCTTCTTCAAATTTAAAAAGAATCCAAGTATCTTTGAGGCAATGTTATCATGCCACCGTAACTTTTGGGTCATTTTGTTGTCCTAAATTATTGATAAAAGTATAAATTTTAATCCCAGTCAAAATAGAAGAATCAAAGACTAAAGTCAGAATACTAGTCTCAATTCAATGTAAAAAAATCATATTCCATACAGATTAAAGATAAAAGATATCTTGAAAGGCTATATAATAAAGATCTCCTGCCAGCAAGGAAGAGTGGGCCTTCAATTCTCAATATTCTGTCTAAAGAGCATAGAAGTATTGAGGGGATAGAATTTCACTTAGGAGTAGTAGTGTTAATTATTAGGTTTCAATAAAGAGAGATAGTGAGATCTAGGATTGTATTGTGTAAAAGTGTTCCTAAGCCCTGTACTTTAAATTGTGCTCATACTGGATTCAGACTTTTTCTCAATACGAGAAATGCCTAGCAGAAACGTGATGGTTTTCCCAGAGAGGATTATCAAATAGTAGACCTGGCCCCAAGCCCTGCATAGTGAAACTTATTCCTACTGTAAAGCAAGAATGAGAATATGCATACAGTCCCAAGGAGAAAAGAGTCTGGCGAGCTGTAGAAAAGGGATGGAGTCCTCCAACAGACGAAAAGGAAAACTTGAAAGACAAAGATGACTGGACAGATGAAGAAATCAAGCAAGCTGGTTACAACTCCAAAGCCATGAATGTTATTTTTAGAGCAATGAATGATGAAAATTTCAAACTGATTTGTGTAACAGATATAGCCAAAACAACATGGGAGATTTTATGCATTCATCATGAAGGAAATTCCATAGTAAAACAATCAAAATTACAAATGGTCCCGACACAATTCGAAAATATGAAAATGGAAGAAGAAGAAATTATCACTTAATTTAGTGCGAGAATTCTTGACATCTCCGAAGCTGCTTATAATCTGGGAGACTCTATCCCTGAGGCTAAACTAGTAAAAAAGGTACTCTGTTCCTTACCCGAAAGATTCATGATGAAAGTCACAACCATCCAAGAGAGTACAGATCTAAACACATACAAACTGAGTGATCTGATAGGAAATCTCCAAACATATGAACTAGAGACGTTTGCGAAGCCAAGTACCAAAGGAGTAGCGTTCAAAATAAGACAAGAACCATATTCAAATAATGATATCAAAGACATAGAAGAGTCAATAGCCAAGCTAACAAAATTTCTCAATATAATTGTTGAAAAATTCAACAAACTCAAGAACAAAGATAGGACAAACTTCAAACAACGAATTGAAGATATCAACACGATTAGACAGAAAACTGATGTTGTCAAAAGTAAATCTGCCTTCAACCTAGATGGAATACAATGCTACAGATGCAAGGGACATGGGTACATTCAAATTGAATGCCCAACTTATCTAAGAAGGAAGAACAAAACTTTCAATAATAACCTAGAAAGCGAGGAAGAGAATTCAAACTTTGTAGCATTCCCTGTCAACTATGAAAGTGATAGTGAAACTGAGGATGACATACAAGACCTGATCAAATCATACACACAACTACAATCAAAATGTGAAGAACTCATCACAATTAAATGCGACCGCATGATAGAAATGCGTGTCGTAAAAAGTGAAAAAGAAAGAGAAAAACGTATTCACGAAGAAACAAAAGAAAAATAAAAAAACTTTCAAGAAAAGGAATGAGAATTGAAAAAAGAAATATAAGAACTAAAAAAGGGAGTGGAAACAGAAATCAAAGACAACATGAATGAATTATACGAATCATACCTACAATTAGGGCTAGGCATTTCGGTTCGGTCTTAGACCGAAGTACCAATCGGTAGTCAGTTTGAGGAAACTGGTCGGTTCGAAAAATCCGAACCGAATCGAGAAATCGATCGCTTTTTTTTTTTTTTTTTAAATAATAAATATATAATATAATGTATTAAATGTCCAAGGTGAGGTTTGAACCCTAAACCATCAAGTTAAAAACTATGAACTTTATCCATTAAGCTATTAATACATTTAACACATTTGTGTTAATATTTTCATTTGTATGCTAATAAAGGTATACATTTTTCATTAAATATTATAATGGACAAAATTATTCCTACCACATTTCTTGTGAGACAAAAGTACCTTTATACCGTTAGAACATCGTTACTATTTAATTCTAACTTTCATAACTCTATCATTATTATCATACACCTATATCTATGATATCTTTTTCCTATTCTTTAATTATCATTTTATTAAAATCATTATATAATTAATTTAATTGTTGATTATATTTTAATTAAATTTCTGTGAATGGTAAATCATATATGTGTGTATATATATATAGGCACGCACATGCACCAATATATGTGACCGGGTACTAGATTAGTATTATAGATATTTTATTTATTTATTGTAAAAATAAAGTATAAATTATATCAAAATTATTTACATTATTAATAAACAAAATATAAATTTTGTTCATCTCTATAATTTTCAAATACGATGATTAAAATTTACTACTTTAAAGAATTGTGAAATATAATTGAAATACCAAGTGGCTTGTAATCCACTGGTATTGGGTTGTTCCCCTAAGTGGGAGGTGTAAGGTTCGAACCTCTATTGAGGCAATAGTGTGTATATGTAAGGTATCTCCCTTCCTTAAAAATAAAAAAAGAATTGTGAAATATATATAATTGGAATAAGGGTCAAATAGGTCATCAAACTGCACACGAAACAATTCTTTCAATTTGTAATTATTTTAATTTAAAAAAAAACAGAATCCTGCTGGAGACGAAAAAATAAACTTCTTCGTCTCCGGCCATGCAGACGAAGAAACTCTCCGACTGTGGAGACGAAGAAACCGGCCTGAAATGAAGAAGGTTTCTTGTCTCCGGGCGGATTCTGTATTTTTTTTTTTTAAATTTTAATAATTAATTTTTAAACTTTATTTTTTAAAAAAATAAACTTCTTCGTCTCCGGCCGATTTCTTCGTCTCCGACCATGCAGACGAAGAAACTCTTCGTCTCCGACTGTGGAGACGAAGAAACCGGCCTGAAATGAAGAAGGTTTCTTGTCTCCGGGCGGATTCTGTATTTTTTTTTTAATTTTAATAATTAATTTTTAAACTTTATTTTTTTAAAAAATAATTAATTTGGGAGGATGACCGGTTGGAAACCTTACAATTGGAAGAACTGTTTGAAATTGGTTAGTTTAGGGATCCAATTGTTGGTTTTTTGGGTTCAGTGACCTAATTGCATTATCGTGTGTAATTCGATGGCCTATTTGACCCTTATTCCAATATAATTTGAACTATAACTTGTAATTATTTGCATTTATCAATTTTTTAATGTTGGGCATAAATTTTACAAAATACTAGTACTATATATAAATATTATAATAATTAATAATTTCAACTTCTCAAGCCCTCAGACCTCAACTCTAAGTCGTAAATCTCAACATTTGGTGTTTTAATAATTCTTATTTTTTAAATATTAACTATGTAGATGGATGATTCTTCATCTTGTCATTAACAAAACACTTCAAGTGGCACTCCAAGTGAGCCTACTGAGCAATCGGTTAGGCAAAAAATGGAACGTTCCAATGGTGGACTTCCTTCAAAACCGAACCGAACTCTATTTTTAAACCGAATGGTTTAATTTTTTTTAAAACCAAAAAATTGAAATCGAAAAAAATTGAACCGAAACCTAAAATGCCCAACCCTACCTACAATTGAAATCAAAATGGGAAGAACTTATCCAGACAAACTGTGATCTCATATAGAAAAACCATGTACTGGAAAGCGAAAAAGAAAAATAAAAAATCCTTCACAAAGAAACTCAAAAAGAGTTAAGGGGATCTCATGAAAAAATAACTGAGTTAGTCAAAGAAATAGAGGAGTTAAAAAGAGATGCAAATTTGGGAAGCTCAGAACTCGAAAGAAATCACACGGACAGAACTGGGAATAGATCTGAAGCGATGTCAGAACATCACTTTCAACACCACAACAAATAGAAAATCAGATGCAACTACTGTCACAAACTACGACATATCAAAGCCCACTGCTACCAGAGAAAAAGAGACTTTCAAACAAAAACTATGAGAAACTGGGTCAGAAAAGATCAAAGAAATCAAACAAAACCCAAACAAATTTGGGTTAGGAAAGACCAATTACAACAAGTAGTGTACACTTTAAAAAATGAGAAATCCACAAATGACGCTCAACTATGACACCATTAAAACGGACACATCAATCTTCATGATAACAAAAAAGAATTAACAGGGCATTTGGTTGAAGGGAATTTAAATTCCCTTCCCACTTAATTCTCACCTAATTCTAAAGGCCACAAAATTCCCATGTTTGGTTGAAAGGAATTGCAATTCCATGGAATTACAATTACCCCATTTTCATGGAATTAAAATGCCATGTCTCCCCCTGGGATTTTAATTCCTGGGATTTTAGGAAGAAAAAAAAGATAGTGATAAGTCAAAATTACCACTTCATTTTTTAACCTAAAATTAATGCCTAACAACAACAATGGACATTTTTTACTTTATACTACTTATTCCCTTTCAATTCCCATGTATACCAAACATTGGAATTGAAATTCTCAGTAATTCTATTCCTGTAAACCAAACACTGAAATTTAAATTCCCACTTTATTCCCAATAATTCATCTCCCATGAAATTGCAATTTCTTTCCCACATAATTCTCCTTCTCCAACCAAATGCCCTGTAAAGGAAGATGCATGTCAAGGAGACCCAAAACTAGAAATCAACAAATACGTAAGTTGTGAAGCATCTTCTTAGAACAAACTCGCTCCTCTCAGGAACTACTGTGAAGAACATGAAATCCAACATAAAATTTCAGATGAAAAACCTCTTCAACTAATTAAGCATGTTGGAGGATCCGAAAAATCAAAGCATACAAAAAGATGCACGGATACTACTCGAAATAATTCCCCACAAGTTCTAGACAAAAGTAGTGAATACTGCTCGTTATCTAATAAAACCAAGTAGGCATACAAAGGAAAATCACATATGATAAATTAGAATCAGGAAAAGTTGGAACACAGGTTTCAACACCAAAAGCAGAGAAAGAACAAAATGGATAAAATTGAGGGGGAATTTAAAGAATGAGGTTTTTGCCAAAATTTAGACAAAGGGTGAGATTGTTGGGTCATTTTGTTGTCCTAAATTATTAGCAAAAATATAAATTTTAATCCCAGTTAAAATAGAAGAATCAAAGACCTAAAGTCATAATACAAGTCCCAATCAATGTAGGAAATCACATTCCCATACAAATTAAAGATAAAGGATCTCAATTCCCAATATTCTATCTAGAGAGCATAGAGGTATTGAAAGGAGAGAATTTCACTTAGGAATAGTACTAGAGTTCGGTTTCAACAGAGAGAGATAGTGAGATCTAAAATTCTATTGTGTAAAAGTGTTTCTAAGCTCTGTACTTTAAATTGTGCTCATAGTGAATTCAGGCCTTTTCTCAATACGAGAAGTGCCTAGCAGATTAGGGATTTCTTGAACTGTGTTAATATTTTTTTTTTTTTTTTGTTGCCACAATTAGTGTTCTAAACCATCATGCAATCCTTACCAATTTTCATAACATCAGAACAAAGGCTTCTATACATTATATGTAATTTTGTTTCATGTTGGCTTGAAAGGTTTTAAGTCCGACTAGCATTCTACTATTGAAATTAATATAGTATTAATTATTGTACAAGTGTAAGGAAATAAAATTGTTCATTCACAATATAATTAGTTATAATTTTTGAAATAGGTAGTAAGTGGTTGATCCTCCCACCGATGGCATGTTGCGATGTTAAAGATAGTAGGTGCTCGGGAGGGACTATTGAATTGGGTGTTGACTTAGAAGGCCACATCTAGCATCTATCATTAAAAATGTGATATTAACTAGTATAGAAGTATAAAAAAATAAAGTTGTCACTTTGTTAATACTTATAACTTTTCGCACAATGGTATATAAGGGTGTTCAATTAACCGAAATATTTTGATTAACCATTAACCGAGCGTCCGAATTAATTCAGTCAATAACTGAATTGCATCGGTTCAATTAACAATTAATTGTTTTGAAAAGTTTATTTATTGATTAATTCGCTGAAAGAAATTCAAAATTCACCGAATTATTGAAACTAGTAATACACACATTAAATTTTTTTTTTTTTTTTAAAGCAAACCAGTGTAGTTATATTTAGATAAAAACTGAAATAGAATCTGGAGGGATTGAGTCTCAATGCATAGGTGTAGAATATTTTGAAACAGCAGAAGTCAAAATGTGGGCTAATAAATTCTGAGATCTAGGAATAAAACTAACTGAGCAGAAATCAAAAGTAGACATGCAGGTCTTGCAGGCATCATTAGCATAACCAATGTACGATCTGAGTGGGGCTCCTGATGAAGATAGATAGCATTGTAAAGTGTGACAATCCGTGTAAATCTGAATGGTCTGTTCACCACGGTCTCGTAGCCAGGATAAGGCTTCCTTACACGCAAACGCCTCAGCCATGAGTGGGGAGAAACAATTCGGCAACGGGGCACTATATGCCGCAACATATCCTCCGTCGACGTCTAACAATTGATGCGTAGTATATTTGCAAACAAATAATACTCGGAGTACGAGTTATCGATCCACAGGGAAGTGGTTGTATCAAGCATTAGTTACTAATTTATTCATTAGAGCTAATCCTAACAATTGTACAAATAATTGATTTGCATAAAATAAATAAAATAAAACAGAGATTCAGGATTTTAAAAACAATTAGAGAGACGATAAAGATTCCTGAGATTCAAGCATTTAATCACCTAGTGCCAAATCTTAAGGACAATATTAAAATCTGGGTTTAACAAGTGTGAGGATGCAAGATGGTATAGAGCTACTCTCGTAGTCACTAAAACTAGTGAATTTCTATTCTCGTGGCTTAAACACCCAATAAAACAAGATCAAGCATCATAAATTCCTAACTACTAACATCTCTCGATGCGCAATAATCAATAATTAAATCCCCCTAATAAATTACTCTTTCTCAAGGTGCAACAATTAGGTGCAATTGTGTGTGCCCAAAGTTATGCCCAACTCTCGCTGTGACACAAACAAAGCAAACGAAACAAGTAACTATGACCATTAATTACAAGCATCAAACAACATTATCACGATTGCAACAAAAGTATTAAACCCAAGTAATAATATATTAAAGAAACTGAGAGCTCAGACACATAGGTTCATAAACACTTTTAACCAAGAATCTCTAAAGAATTTAGCCAAGCATGGCTATATTATACATAGCAAATAATAATAAAGATAATACAAAGTATCAAAAGAGTACAAGAATAAACCAGACGATTCTCTCAAATCTCCCTAGTCTTCTTCTTGATCCCAAGACAACTTGTGGCTCTTGACGAGTTCTGAATCTAAATTCTAAATTGTCTATTCTAAAATTATTTTCTTTTAGGGTTGAGGAATGTAAGAATTTATAGTAGGTACAA